TTTTGGCTTTTCGAAAGCTACGGTACTACTCGAAGAAATATGGATTACTCCAGTATTGCAACATCGGGGTTCATCCTGAGTAAATGACAGAATAGAAAGGATGTGAACCACGTTGTGTACGTTCGCCATGTACTCTTAAATTAATGCGAGTTTTCTCATAAAAAAAACACGAATCAAACTACCATGCCAATCACGATTATTATGAAATGAAACACACCTTTTACATGCATATTTTAAAGAATATCGTCGACGCCCAGTAAAAACACTCTGGGCTTATAATCGTGAATGCTCTCAACTCGATAAATACCTAAAAATAAAAATATAGGAATGGGCTTCATACTCGGGAGGGGCTTACGATCGGGGAAGTACAGTACTTTAACGCAATTGGGCTTCCACTCTCAGAATACTGTGGTTCAAACGCATAATGCTCTAACCCAAGTTTTAAAAAGCACATTGTGCATATAAAAGTTGAGTTTATACTAATAGTACACAATGCTTGACAGCATGAACGGCTATGTACAATGGCGTATACGAATGCGATCAGACACTAAAACGGTCATAGCTTTGAAAAGTACCCGGATGTTAAATATGTTCGTTCGTTGTTTATTCCCCTCCATGAATGGCCTCCATGGTGTTTAATTGCAAGCACTTCAAATGCCTATCCAAGCTACAGTTATAATTAAAACAAAATTAAACCACTGCAATATTATTTCGAATACAGTTTAGAATATACACAACTATAAATTAAGGCCGCATTTAGGTTCGCTTTAATCAATATTATACATGTATTATTATAAAAAAAATTGGCTATTTATTCCAATCTTTTGAAGGAAAGTGCAGACTATAAACGGGACTATTATGTGAATTTGTAATGAAAAGAGGGAACTGGTGGTAAAAAGGTTAAACTGCCCACTTTTGGTAGGCTCAACTGATAGGGATTAGACTAAGCCTGTAACCTGTCAACTAACACAGACTCCACATTTTAGATACAGGTAGGGAATTTTATTTGATAGGCTAAAACTGTCTACTTTTTAATGACAATTTACAAAATAGAAGTATAAAATGAATATAAATTTATAAATGTTTAATAAATCAGAAAAATTTAAATTAAAAAATGAACAATAAAAAAATGACTTAATTAAACTAACTAGACTAGAACATAAACAAACCCTACCCACCAAGTGACAATTGTCAGTCTGTTACTTTACAGGTTGTGATTGATAAGAACTGGCAATTCAAATTTATGAAATATTGATAATGATTCTATATATAAAATACATTCATGCCTTTATGAAATTCACTGTACAACAAAGGTATGAATGATTTTATAGAAACATTAATAAATAAATGCCCTTGTGTCTGTGGGACATTCTCAGTAATTATGAGTCAACACAGTTCGTCTGTTGGATGATCTAGAAACTAACAACTACGTTTATTTCAATTAAGACTTGTCCTAAAAATGAAAATTTAACAGATTGCGATTTTTAATGTGAGTTTTAGTGACTGTAATAATTAGGCTCAGTACATACCTGGCTTATATTTCCAGCAGTCCATATATGGTTATCTTTTAACATAATCATTGATGACAAATCGTATCGATGTGTTGACATTCCACCCACCAACAGAGAATATTTTTCAACAAGTCTGAAGCCAGGTGTAGTTTTCCTAGTTCCTGCAACTTCTCCATGCCATTCAGCATGTTTAGCTATAGTGTTCATTTGCCTGGCATAGCTGGCAATCCCACTTGCCCTAGTGATGCAGTTCAATGCTACCCGTTCACCAAGTAGAAGGTTCTTCACTTTTCCTGTAATAATTGCAATTTGGCAAACTGGTTCTAGTAATGACCCTTCTTCAACTAACCACTCAATGTTGCAGTCAAGTTCTTCAAATATGGCAGTGAAGAAAGGCACACCTGCCAAAACGCCAGGTGATTTGCATAGTAGTACAGCCGATTCTTGACGTTCTCCAACGACAAATCCGCTATAATCAAATGACGGGGTGTCTTCGTTGAGCCACTGCCTCACCAGGGTTTTCAGATTGGTTGGGTGGATAAGATGAGATATTTGTGGCTTATATCCCGTAACGCTCGACATCTTTTTATTACGTTGAACCTGGCTAGAAATATTATAGTATTAATATATGCAAAACGTGCGTATCTCCGCGCAGTGTGACGTACTACCGGACAGATCAAAAGTACATATAGTTTGACGTCGTATACTTCCGAACTGTTTTATATTCATACAAAGTCGTTCTAATATAGAGCTTAGAGAGATTGTGCGTTCAATATGTCACTCGAGCGTGTGGGCGATAACGATAACAACCCAGTGGGATACTCTGAATACTTTCAGTGTTCTCCACAAGGGGTTTTAGGTGGGCGGCCCGCCCATCAAGTTTTACGGTCGCCTAGTAACTCTCAACACCCGCCCACCAACGTACATCCAGCTGAAATTATTTGTAAAAAGCTTGCATTGTTTTTCCCAAGCCTAAACAAAAGAGTAGTTGCCCAACCCTTTATTTTGCTATTGTTTCAAGAGTCCAAACATAAACAATGACTACTGGAAGTCTGCAAGCAGTTATCAAATGTATTCATGGCAATGTGTCAATCGCCTGAATTCATCATCGCCCGACATTGTTGCCACTTATAGCTGTGGAATCATAGCCCTATGTTGCCGCCGCATTATTTACATGACTGACTCTGGCCGGCCCATATGGCTATGGGGCCTTGTGCGACTGAATACCGGTTAAAATCCACATGCCAAATTTGGTCGTCGCGAAAATCACATTTTAAGACCTTCGAAAGTACTCACTATGTTTATTTACTTCCAAACAATGACCAGAACCTATTTGCGCTGTGAAATGATGACGGTGGTCATAACAAATTGACTTTATTGACCGTACACCGAGTCGCAGAAAAATAACAAGACGAAAGACGCCATTTTGGACTACAGAGTTACGCGAGACCTATAATTTTGTACCACGTGACCGAAATCAGTAGATAAATTGCGTTTATGCAACTAGTTTCTATTATTAAACAAAAATCATACAATTATAAATACTGTATGTGATTGCTTTGTTGGAACAATTAGAATAACGGGAAGAGTGAGTTTTATTCTTCCACCACTGTATCACATGACCGCCAAACGAGATTACATTTATTCTGCGCTAGGGAGTGTGGGATGTCAATGGCTGGCGTTTTCTCGTAATTTGCTTGGTTTCCGCGGTAATTGTAAAATATCACAAATTATTGCTTATTTATAAACACAAATTGCAAACAAA